ATTTGTATGATTTAATTAAAGAAAGAAATCAAAGGGATGATAGCCAACAAAGGAAGTTTAAATGAAAAATTTAATACCTCTGGAAGTAACTCCCTGTGGAAGGTAATAAAGTAGCTGGCACTTGGGGCTCCTAGTGAAATGAATCATATCCTCACTGCACAACTCTTCCACAAGCGTCTGAATAAAATCACTGCTTCCCACAGCCGCAACTGCACCTTGTTTCAGGATTAATAATATTTCTCCAGTATTTATCTCATCTTTCTATTGATACACGAGACCTGTCTAGACTCTGTCTGCCAAAATTCTGGCTTCAATTTCCTCTTGATTCCTTAAGTCACTGATTACAGGAAAAACCCTGGGTTTTCACACTCTGGGGTGGAGACAGGCTGGGCTACTCTTGCTAATCCTCATCCAGGAAGCCTTTATAGGTTCATGATATTCAGTCATAGTTCTTAATTGGCTTGGATTAAAGGAAAAGGTAAATACTAATCTTACTCAAATTAGGCCATGGAAGCAAAAGTACAAGTTTTTAAAAGAATAGTGTTATACACATTAAAAACTGCATTTTTATGAATTTTTTCATTGACATCAAATAGGAATCTGATCAAAACCAATATTTTTTTTTTCTTGAGGTTTCACATTTTATTAATTAATACATATGCAATGATATTTACATTCCCAAAAGTCAGGGAAGCTATTGGAGACAACTGAAGAGTTAACATGCTACAAAAAAAGTTCTCAAGCAAAGCCAAAAGACAGAACCAAAGCTGTTGACAAGAAACAGAAATAAGTGAGAAAGCTTTTATTTCAGTTACTCCTGCCAGATTCCATTTGCAAATAAAATTGAAAGAGAATGCCTGAGAAAATCCATATTTCCTTGCCAAGTGCTTAATAAATCTTTGGTGAGAATTAATCTTAGATTGTATTCCTTATAATAGAGAAGCTGATTTTTAAAAAGTTTTTGCTACATTATGAAAGGATCTTTCTATGTTCTTCCCCCCGAGTTCTTGTGCATTTCTTTCTTATTTCTGCTATTCCATTTTAAACGTTTTTCTAATTATTATCTCCATTCAGGGTTATACAGTGGATATATCATTTCAGCTGTTGGCAAGCCAAGCTTTCAGTAAACAGTAAGAAAAAACTATATGGACATCTGGGTAAGAGTGCAGGTGGAAGAACCCAAAATCACCTGAAGAGAAGTTTCTCTATTAATTAGAAGTTAATTTAAAAACTGGAAGGCCACCTATATGGTACCAGTGCATTTCTTTTCCATGATTCTATGCTTCTAAAATAAATGTATGCTTAAAAAAATATTCAAGTCTTTACATGAGCAGAATACACACTTTTGCCTTGGACATAACTAATTATAGTGGAATTACACAAGCTTTTCTAAAATTCTCTAATTCAAATCAAATAAAGGAAAAAGATCATATTTACCATAATGAAAACCAAGTTCCAACAGCAATAAAAATCAGAATGTCTTCAATTCCACTCAGCACAAATTATCTTTCTTATTCTTCTCTACACCTGTTAAGTTTTGTTTAGGGTTTGGAGTCGCACTTTTCTTTCCAAAATCATATAACACTCTAGTTTCTGATCTCAATTTTTTTTTTTTTTTTTTATTTCTGTTACTAAAACCCACACAAATAATAAAGCAAAAATGCCCAGGAACAAGGGGCTCCTGGAAAGCAGCCTTAGAGCCCACCTTTCTAAACCAGCACCATGTGGGTTCCAGACCACACTTGATGGTGTTGGGTCATCACAGTGCCTTCTGCTCTTTGCAAGTGAAGGTGTTTTCATGCATCAATTAAGTGGAAAGAAACAGGAAAAAGGAATCTAATTGGATTAGATAAATTGTATAGCACTGGTTATATATTCTTTATCAAATCAACTGGAAAGTTGTTAGGCCTACAAATGCCAGTAGATCCACATAGATAATTTTATTCCTATTGGTTGCTTTTTCTCTGCTTGTTAATGCAGAACCTAGGGTTTACCACTGGAGTTAACCTTAGTTAGCTCTGGATGAAATGTAAATTAAATCTCAAGATCAAATGGTTGTTGCAGGAAAACAATTTCTTTCCAACCATTCCTGTCTTGGATCTTCAAAACTTGATGTAAAAGAAAAATTAATTTCCTGAAATTCCTGAAATTAATTTCCTCTTGTTCCATTCTGTTAAAAGTGTTCCATTCAGAACAGTTGGATCTCAGAACTTCCTGAGCTACGTGATGCACACAACTGCTTTGGAATATTGACATCGTAAATAAATACATGACAGCAGCTTTTCTTCCTCTTCTTCAACTGCTTCTCTTCTTCCCTTTGAAAATGATAACTTTAATCTTCACAAACAAATCTGTCATTTCTAATCTCAGATGCACTGAGGTCACCTTATGCTGAATTTGAGCAATGTCAGGTCACTTTTTTTGTAGATGTCCATGAATCAATGAGTTAAGAGTTAAATAAATCTCAATACATCACACTAGAGAGCTGTAAATGTTCTTCCTGGCATCTTACTCCAAATCTGTAAGACATCACTTTCTGGGGAAAAAAGCCGCAAACAAATAAAAGTTGGAATATCAAGAATATTTTAAACGGGTATCTGAAACAAGGCATCAATACCTGTACAAAGATCTTTAAACCACAGCTGTGTTTTCTGAAGTGCAGCAAAAACTGACAGCTGCAAATAACCTATTAAACCACTCCAAGATGCACTTCAGCAGGGCACAGAGAGTAAATTCTGCAGTATCTTACAGACATTACTGAAACTGAAACTTAAAAATGTTTTGGTTGGCTGATGAAGGCAACTGTGCAGACACAAACACAGAGGTAGAAGCCGCACGTACACCTGCATCACACACAGCTCATTTTGTCTTCACCTCCTTGTGTCCCACACAGTAACCCATGTCACAGGGGTGTGTGAACATCCAGTTCGCGACCAAAGGCATCCAAACTGGAGTTTATTCCTCACTGTTGATTTTTGATGAGCATAAAAAATGAGGAAGGGGAGAAATTAGCTTGTTGACTATTTCTAATTTAAAATTAGACACTGCACAAGGGTCTAAAAAGGTTTGATTACAACATTTGATTAATTAACGTGCTTCCAGACGTGCTTCCATTTTTATGCAATTTATGGTTATTCTAGAATCCTGGTATTTTACAACTTTCTGTTGCAAAAGTTTCCCAATTAAAACAGAAAAAAATATAGTTCACTCACAGTGTAACACTCTTTAAGGGAATGTACAATTTAAATGTTATTGTTTCTTCCAAAATGGGTCTCTCTGAAATATATAGCAGTTGGGATATTTCAGGGGAGTAAGAAGAATATACATAACATGGTATTTGTAGCTAACAAACAATAGGACTCTGTTTTACATACAAAAACTGAGAAGGTTGCAGCAGAATTATGGGCAGTATTTTTAAAAGAATGCTCATAGTTAGAACCTTCCTCTGACATTAAATATTTCTCCTAGTAAAGAGCTGTGGGAACAATTTATCACAAGCTGCATGGTTTGCATATTAATGTTGCAATCACCAGAAATGCAGGCTATGTCTCAGCAAGGAGGGAATTTGGGGCTCAGGAACAGAAATTTAATGCCAGAGAAAAGCACTTTTTACACAGAGAATTGTGCTGGCTCCCATCAAGGGCACAAAGGCAGCAGCTGCCATTGCCTACTCAAGGGAGGACAGCAGCAGCCCGGCTGACCTGCAGAGAAGAGTTGTTCCTGCCGAGAATGGGATTGATCAGCACAGCACCTGGCAGTTTAGAGAACTCTTCAGTGCAGCAAGAGCTCAGCAGAGTGTGTGTGTGAATGCACACCCTCCACAGCTGTCCTCTGGAGGAAGGACATCACAGAACCCAGAGATCCACTCCTGGCTGGAATTAAACTGCCATAACTGCACCAGCCTCTCTGACAACCTTCACTGAGGCATTGGAAAGCCAACTCCATAAGACACAGTTCCTACCCTGCTCTTCACCAAAATTCCTTGCAAAGGCACTTTCCTGTGATACTGTGCAGCAAACAGACCCGTGGTATTCATATTTTTAATGAATACTTTTAATTTTAATTCATGTTTTTAATGGAATTAGGGATTCCAAATGCTTGAAATAAGTGATTGTCAAAGTCCTCATCATCTTGCTGCAGTTTTTACAGCCTGGCCAGCTGAATTTCTGTGGGGTTGGTTTTGTGAATTAATCGGACTCTGGATATTGTACAGACAAAAATGCAAATTCAGATCTCACAAACTAGAAATGAATTAACAAGCTATTACAAAAGTCTTAATAAAAGGAAAGCAAGAAAGGAAGAAAGAGGGAGTCAGAGAACACAGTAACATGGAGAGCCCTTCTCTAGAGATAAGGTAGCCCCATTCAGGAAACACATTCTCCACTCAATTGCAACAGCTTTTTGTGTTGGTTAGGATTTTTCCACAGACAAAAAAGAATTTTTCTTTCCCATGGCTCTCCCATTTCATGTTGTGCTCAATGCCATCTTAACTGCTATGTGGAGAGAATTGATTTTCATTCACAAATTGTGATCTGCTTTTGAGAGTATAACGTGAGCTAAGATCCCGAGCAAATGAGCCATGTGCATGTGAAAACAGAATTCAAGAGAGGAATAGAGAAGAATAAAGACAAGAGCAAAATAAAGAGTCTCGTGCATTACATCACTTGGGTAAGGGTATCCTCATAGTAATGTTAGATGCTGAAATGACAATAAATGGATTGCTAATTTTAGCTTCTAGTTGCCTACCTCCTCATTACAATTCTATCAAAAAAACCAACAGAATTTCTTTACAGGACATTATTGAAAAGCTAATAGAGAAATAAAGTTACTGCCAGTCAGTGCAAAACTCTAGTGTATAGAAAAACTAAGCATAAAAATTTGTCTTTTTAACAGCTAAAACCAGCAAGAAATAACTATAAAAATCTCAGTATAGTTTTTGCATTTTACAACTGGAGTTCACAACTGATATTCTTGTGCTTTGTACTATGCTCACACCTTACCCAAAACTTCCCAGAAGACAGGCTCAGCTCAGGTGTAACATTGCCACGTAAAGTTAATGCAGGGAGTTTTTAAAGGCTTCCACAGATGCTCCCATTTACTTCTTCATGGGCAGCGTCCTACTGCAGAATAATCACAAATTAAATGATTGATATAGAACAAAGACATCTGTTGTTTTGTAGCTCATAAGATCCTCCCACTTCTCCTAGGGAACATTTACCTAATTCTTCTCTTCTGTATGCATGAACTATGGGAATCAGAAGGAATCTTTCACCAGCAGGAATCAATTACACCAATGGGGTTTGATTTATTCCTCGTTATTTATAATAAACTTTAACCTGTCAAATCCCTGCAGTTGTATTTTACACAATTTATAAACACCATGTGTTATGTGTTAGAAGATTTAATTCTTATTAGCATATGGAAACATGAAAGGTGCAAATATCGGGACTAATTTGGCAAAGCACTTCAGTGCATATTTAATGGTAAGCATATGAGTAACCCCATTACAGCTGGATTTCAAATTAAGTACATTTTAAAGTATTTTGCTGGAAGCAATTCTCCAATCAGTGTCCTAGAACCAGCTGAGACAAATGAACTATTCCTTCTTCATGAAAGGGTCAGTGAGACAAAGGGAAAAGTATGTAATTGGATTTAGAGTAGAAAAGAGGTACATTTTTGTGATACAAAGCATCATTTGCTTTCACTGTTACAGTGTTTGTGAGATACACTGGTCACTCCAAGTATTTTTATATCTTGCAGCTTTTATTCCGGCTTTTATTTCATTCTCTTTAGGGGTTTGTTGTTGTTGTTTGGTTTGGGTTGTTTTGGTTTTTTTAATATTCACATCCTCTTGTTACTTATCTGGTCTTCTTTATATATTCCTCACATATCCTTCACTTACTCTTCCACCCTGCTCTTCCAGAGAGCAAGACGAAAAAAATACAGTGTAAAAATTTGCACCGTTCCAGGCCCTCAGCTCCTAAGCTTTGGTATATGAGTTTTGTTTGTTAAATGCCTCAGGCTCATTATATTTGCTTCTCTTTATTGATTCTGGGTTCCTGACAGGTACAGATTATAGAAGATGGCCCAAGATGTAGCTCCCCTATATTTGGAATTTTGTGGCTGCTGTAAGAGTTTTCTCATTTGCACTTTCTGCATGTTCTGTGGATGTTTCCTAAACACAGGTTTCACCCTAGTATTAAAGACTAATATTCTTTTCTGTAGGTCCCATTTCCCTGGAATCTGAACCTTTCTTCTAGGATCTAAACAATAACCTTCACTGAGACAGCATCAACTGCTTCCTGTGTTTGGGGAGCTGAGGATGGGCAGCAGGCACCAGCAGGAACTGAGACAAAGCAAGTGTCCTGCAGCAATGTCCTACACAGGGATGGCAAAATGTGATGTGTACAGGTTGAAAACTCTCACTGGAAAAGAGGGGAGTGTTCATTCCAGCCACCTGCAGCTACCTCACCTGTGCACCTACAATATATTCCTGAGGCAGAAGTTGTGGCTCTTGCATTTGCAGTGGCCTTCAAACACGGTGTTGAATTTCCTGCACCCCTTGGTGCTCCAAATCTCAGTTAAATCCTGGGTGGAAGAAGGAAAGCTGCATGTGAAAAGGACTGTACTTGGCATTGTACTGTATTTGTTGGGAATGGAGTGAGAGGGATGGAAACCAAGGAACTGGTCATGCCCTGTGCCTTTGTAGCAAGTGCAGAATTGAAATGCCATGGACATTCAGTGTGAGGAAATTTCATTGGGAGCCTCTTGGAACAAGCACAGAATCTTTCAACACGCTGAAATGCAGCCTGTACCAAAACTCCTGCACTGCTTAGGTTCTTACAAGGAGTAAAAAAATACATCAGCATGTCAGTCATAATGTAATCTCTTGTCTTGGATCTGAAAAAACAGATAAAATCCTCAGTAGAGCTGGATCTCAGGAGCAAATGCACTCTTCCTCCTTTCTTCATCAGTGACTTAGTTTGTTTTAGTCCCATAAATTTTGTCACAGCAACTTTATTAACTCTTTCTGAAACAGAAAAAATATGATAATTTAATTTCAAAATAAATTAGAGCATTTATGTAATTAAGTGATTTTCAAGAAGGATCTCTCAAATAAGCCAAAACCATATTAACAGCAGCAGCTAAATTAGACTTGACTTCATTTTTGTTTCATTTTAAGCTTGGTGACCCATCTGGGCAGCTGACTTGTAAGATCTGAAATTTGATCAGCTGAACTTAGGAAGGGTTAATGTTCTTTTCTTGTATTCCAGAGACTTATTTGCATGGATTTCTTGCTTTCTGTTTTTCTGCCCTTTCAAATATTACTTAGAAATTATAAGCACAGGATACACAGATGGCAAAAGTCAGAGATTTTCTATTCTCTCAGGAAGACACAGGTGTGGCATCAAATGAAAAACTCCACCAAGAGATAATATTGTCTCTAAAAGGATTCATAAATAGGTTATTAAAAAGACGAAGACATCATTGGCATAGTAATACTGCAGGTCATATGCAGATCTTTTCTTTAAAAGAAATACTACACCCACACTCACTTTCACATTGGTATCGTAGAAAATACCTGCTTTATCTTTCATGGGGAAATCAGACGTGAATTAAGCAGCTCTGCCTGTGCTCCAGTACTCTGAGGCAATGCATTGGAATCTATCTGAATGGGAGTGCTACTTGATGTTTCAAAATTTATGAAGGAATACTTCTTTCTTTCAATTTCTTCTTCCCATCCTTTCTCCCTGTGCAGAGTAGGGAGGTGAATAACCCTGATCTGGGGTGTTGATGTATTACCACACATTAGGACAGTGATCAGAGCAGAGGGCACATCGTAGCTGTGCTGAATTTTAGCCATTACAAGTAGTTTACTCTCAGTTTTAATGAGCAGATTCATGTCCCCATACTATTATCCTGGTATAAAGGCCTGAACATAAGCAAACAAAAGATAAAGACACAAAGTGCAATCAAAACTCAGCAGTTTGAAGCAGCCAGCCTGCCTTGTTTTCCATTGCAATTTATTTTATTGCCCTGTGTACTAACAGTAAACCACAGCATCATTCAGCTGAAAGAGTGAATCTGGGATCTGTTCTGCTCTCAATGTTGTCCCCAGTGCACTGCAATTACAGAAACACCTGGTTTGAATAACTTCTCTACATTCTGCTGTAAAAATTCAGTGCCCAACAGACCAAATTCCACCTCAGCCTGCAATATAAATAATGTATGTATAAAGCACTCAGATTTGTACAGGGCTGTGGACTTCTCCCCTGTTCCCTCAATTACCATATCCTTTGTGGAGCTAATTAAAAGAGAAAATAAGATTTGCTAAACTTTTTCTGACATTGTATGCAATAAGCATTTTATAAAAGAGATTGATTTGGAGGCTGGCCAAACCCTACCTGTTCTGGAGATCAGCTTGGAATTGTTTTCTGGGAATCTGATTGCCCTCATTGCTGACATAAAGCATCTCAGCATATCACCTTCCATCACTTGATGGCATCAGCACCTGTTTTGCAGGTATTTCTGAAAAATAAATGTGTTTTAATATTTCTCCACTGCCTTCTTATTTTTGTGGTGTTCATTTTTCTGAACACATTTTACCCAATGCTCATTTTGTGCCTCTCCTATCAGTGATTTATATTTGCAGAACATTGTCAGCAAAATATATTCATATGTTAACATTGTAACACGCACACAGACACAGAGTACAACAAAGATTTTTAAATGTACCTACAGCAACCCCAGAATGAAGAGTTTGCCAAATGCTTCCAGATTGGCTATTCAGAAATCAGCCTGCACAAGTTTTACAAGTTTGGAAATCTTGAATTATGCTGAGAGCCTTGTCATGTCACTACACTGACCGGAACAGAAGGTTATTTCCTGCTGGGGCTATCAGAAAGTTCGATAAATGTCCTAATCTGCATATGCAGCTATTTCACCTGGAGCTTCTACTATGCTTAGGTCTATAAACCTCAGGGTGCTCATCACTACAAAAAATTACTTTCTAGTCACCATGAAGTTCTTCAGCCCCTTTGTAAGTATTTTCACGCTTCTGAGGCGACAAAAATATATATCATACACACACCATAACCTAGAAATTGGATCACAGGGTACTGGACCAAGACTAGAAGCTATTAACAGCAGCAATGGAAAAGTTTAGTCATGCTGCTTTACTTCCCCTCTCACCTTACCTTTAAGAATTTGCTCCATGGTCAGGAAAACTTCCTCTTGGCATGTGTACAGCAAATATGTGAAGCAGTGCTCAGAACCGCAGCCTTGCAAATATTGCTTGGCTGAGCTTATGAATTTCCCTCTTCAGGAGCACCCACTAATCTGCAAACAGAAACTCCTGTGTCCTCTTGAAGGAGAGCACTAATAAAAGGCAACAAATCCCACCTTCCATATTTGAGAGGAAGGTTTTAAAGACCAACAATTTCATAGTCATGGTAATCCCTAGTTATTTACATGGGAGTAGAAATATATCCATGCAAAGTGATTCTAGTGTTATACTTACACAAACATTTTCCATTTTAGAAATTTTCATGAAAGGAAAAAATTGACACCTCTTAGTGCAGACTTGGTCTAAACAGTGCTCCTTGCTGCACTGTATAAACCAAAAATCTATTAGTTATTTTATAGAAACAATCATTTTCTAAACCTTATTTGGTTTCTGTTGGAGGCCAAAGAATTGGTACATTTCTTGTTTCCTGTTCATGTGAGTGCTAAATCTCCTCTGGTTCAGATGCTTTACATACATGTTATTCCTAATCCTGGCAACAATTCTGGTTCTTAGAAAAGTACCAGAATAATGCAGAAAAAATATTCTTTTCAGAATGAACAGAAACCACAGACTTGAGAAGATTTATTTCTAAAGTTCCAATAAAAGTAACAAAGTCTTCCTAGAAAAAAAATCCCACTTTAAGAACAAATATCATAAAAATCATAGAGAAAGATGCAAGAAACACAAAAGAACAGGGTAATGAAAATATTTTTTAAATCCTTTCTTATTTTCTCCTTTCAGTTGTAGCTTAGCTCATTACATGAGTCTTTGCAAAACCGAAAATTCTCTGCCCAAAGAAGTGGGACATTTAAATTAATGTGAACCAACTTCTGTTAAATATGTCACTTGGGAGAAGGTTGAGCATATTTGTTATATGGATGCAAAAATTTCCAGTTTTTCATCTTACTGATTTACTATGTGCATGCAAAAAAGAAATGTAGGGTTTTTTTACTGTTATTCATTGCCTCCTTCACCAGTGCTATTACTCTTTTTAATTACCAATTAGATGGATTTATTCTGATCATCTAAAGCCAAAAAAATTCAATGTGCTCCAGAATTTTCTCACATTTAATTATTTTTTTACTACATTTAATTTTTTTACTTCTATTGTAATTCCTTAAAGAGCCCATTTTTCCTCTGAGGAGGTGAGAGAACAAGCCCACAATTTGAAGTGCCTTATATAATAGCTCCTGCTGGAGAAATACATCTGGGACCAAATTCTTAGCTGTTGTATTCCATGGATTAAAAATTACTCTGAGCATTTAGTTTTCTAAAAGATGGGACTGGGCACAGAGAGGTAAAAGAAAACTGACATTATTATGTAAACTGACATTTAGCTTGGGTGGAAGTTAATGAGCTCCATCCTGTCAAAGCCTGAAATTGCCTGGGAGCTTTCCTAGAAGATGCTTCAACAAATGAATATGAATTATTTTGCAGCAAAATAAAGCATGAGTAGAAATTTACTCCGACTCCTTCTGAGATGGGCAGTAGGGAGGATAGGGATACATCAGGCCTGGCACATGGAAGCAAAGCAAGAGCTGTGGCTGTTACAGGTACCACAGAAGCCAGTGAAATGGAAGACTGGACCGTCTCTTTGACATGAGTTCATTCAGGTAGCAACCTGAATGAACACCTATTTCCAGTCTAGGAAACGAGCCACAGCATGGAGACACAAATGTCACAGACCACAGTCTCTGTTTGAACACCTCCATCCAGTTCAGAGAGAACTGTGTGTTACATGTGAAGTACCAGCTTTTCTATTGTATTTGATTTTGGGTGACAAATGTATCTGCTGTAAAAATGCTTTCTGACTAATGATTGGACAAGAGATACAATCTTTATAGTAAAATCATTAAAGAGAATGATTGCAGCCTGAGTCGTCCTCCATCTCTTTAGCAGCACTCTGAAAGAACAATGCAGTCCTGAAAGTCTCATTATTCAGCATAGCAGTGTGGTGGAAAAGGTCTTTAATGCCCTGGAGAACTGAGTGGCCTGGAATGCCCCAGTGGGAAGGCTGTTGATGCTTGAACTTTTGCACCCAAGTTTTTTTCACTCACTATTATCTGAACCCTTGCAAAAGGCTGATCTCATAAATGCTGGTTTCTGTGCAGTACTAATAAGAGATTCTGTGTTCTGACAGGACTGTCAGTATGGAATTGATAAGCATGCTTTTGAAAGAGGTCCCCAAAAATGAAATGACAACACTCTTCTGTTTCATCCAGAGACCTTCATGGATTTCTACCACAGGCTGCCACAGAGCTGTTGTTAACCTAACCATTAGCAAAGGGAAGTTTCCCAGATGCAACAGGTAAATAGCTCCTTCTGAGCCACACAGTGCTGACATCTCCTCAGAAATGACATTTCTAAAGCCCAGCTTCCTACTGCACAGAAGCCTTCCAGTTGTAAAAGAAAGGGAAGATGCTTTCAGGAGAGGAGCAATACTTTGTGACAACCTTCTCAACCTCATAAAAGCACATGCTGGAATCTGACAGGTCCCTTTCGTTTCCTTGGGCGGAGAAGACGCCTGTCTCATTCTATTCCTTTTTCAGTACTGTTGCTTTTAAAGTGACAAATGAATAAATAAGCAACATCTGGGTTGCAGAGCAGCCATCTGGGAAAATATTGGAAGTGTAGAAGGGTCCCCAGAGAATGCTCAAGAGACAGAGAATGGAAAATAACCTGCAGATGCACTCACCAGAGCAAGGGGCTCCAGCTTCCCTACCGTGGGCATGGCAAGGAGCCCATCCCTCACCTGGACTGACAGTCATCCTTCCCTGCTAGAATGGATTAAAGGTTTGAGGAAATTCCAAGGGCATCTGCTAGGGAGGAAGAGACTTTTTGTGTTTCTCTGTCTAGTTATGCGTGTCATAAATGCACGTGTGTCACAGATTACTAGTATTGACAACTTGTATTATCATGTTGTGTTTAGAGAGCTGTGATGGACACCCTGGGGTCTGCAGAGCTCCTGCTCCCCAGGGCTTGCTCCCCGTGCTGCTGTCAGTGCCCAGGGAGCAGAGCTGTGCTGCAGGCCAGGCTGTGGCTGCCCACAGCTGCTCCCTCTGCAGAGCTTCCCGGCTGGCAGTGAGCAGCCTGCGCCCCACAGCCTTTGGCAGAAGCAGCTGCACTTTGCCCACCACTACCTCCCTTAGTTACCAGCTAACCACAGCCAAGCCTGTTCAAGAAAAAAAAATCTATTTTTTAACTCACAGGTATCATTTAAAACCAAGCACAACCCTTACTAGTCTGAGACTTCTAGAACCTTGGCAGATGTTGCCCATGTTTCTATAGTTGAAGAATCATGCTCTTACTAAGAGGGGGTTCTGTACCTCTAGTCTTGTTGAATATGCCTCACATTGGCATTTAATTGTATTTGAGCGCTTGAAATTAATATGCCTTATTTACAATTAAAGTGCTGGCATCCTTCATAAACAGGGTATTAACTTTAATTTCTAGACCTACTTCTAGATTAGTTAAGCTACATCAACAAATTTGACACTAATGGTAGTAGATTTGTGAAATACATGTGTTGAATATTTTATAATGTTGATATAATACCTGGAAATTAAAGAAAATTAGTTAAACTTTGACTGTGTACAGAAGTAGGCCATATCCTGTATATTTTTGACTCATTTTCCACTAATTAGAGCAGAGGCTATGCTTAGTTAAGCATATAATTACGCAATAAAACCCTAGTGATTCAGTAAGCACTGCTGGTATTTTACTAATTAAGAACTTCATGAAATCTAATAGTAGCTCTCTTATCATTTGAATCAATGAAGTATTGGTCTTACAACAATATGGACATATCTGAAGAAGTAACTGCCACCAACTGCATTCACAGAACCTCATTTAAAATAGAATCAAATTGTTTTTCTGCAAGAGAAATCAAGTTTTTACGTATGGCATTTTCAACTATGTAGAGCAGTGTATAATTCTGTCACATTACAGTTAAGTTACTCAAAAGTGGCATAAAAACACAACTTACAAAAGCAAAAAGAAAGAATAATAAAATGATTCCTGTTTGAATCCTTACTTTCAAAGTGTACATAGATTTAAAATGCCTATTACATTAGCCATGTTCTCACCTTATCAAAAAAAGTGATTACATAATATGCAGGATTAAGTCAAGTGAGTATGGGTGCTTACTTTTTTTTATGGATCTAAACTATCTTAGTACTGTGCAGGATTGAGTTTCCTGTGACTGTATATTTATAAAAACTGTCCAGGAAAATGCCCATTAAATGGGAATACTCAGCAAATCTTTCCCTCATTGCTAACCCAGCTCCAAACCTCTCCTGTCCCTGCAGACAATGGACAGAGAGCATGACAAGTTTTCCTGACAGCAAAACCGAAATTAACACTGAGAGTACGCTGTATAATTATTCCAGTAGAAGAAATAAATACAGGTCAGATTTCTGTCATGATGAGGTTGATGCATTTGCTTTTCAAAATAATTTAGTTTCAGTTCATGAAGCCAGTAATATTTAAATGGTACCTTCTTTGCTACATTAAGTGATGTAGAAGTCTAATGTATGATTTGGTTTTTTTTAAATTATAATGGTTCCAAAATTTTTCATTAGTGAGTGATTCATTGGACAATGCCAGATTTAAATATCTGGCAAAGATTTCTTTGTGTAAAGAGCTACACACTCCTAAACCCTGAACAGAGTAGGCCAAAGTTGACCATTAATTTTTTGTTTCAGTTTCAAAGTCATTGCTCATTAAACATCAATCTGCAGCTCAGAGGAACCAGAGGGCATGGCCTTAGGCATTGAAGCAGAAGAAGAGTTTCTTGTGATTTTTTTCAAGGCCTGAGCTGTCTCCAGGGGTAAGTAGGGAAGTAAAGAAAGTCTCTGTTATCCTCTCCTGCCAGCCTTGGCAGTGGAAAGCCCTCTGTGTCCAGTGCAAAGTCGTGGCTTTGCCGCAGCACATGGCTGTGGAGTTTTCAGAGGAGTGATGCAAGTGCGGCACATCAAAGTCGGATTGCAAAACCTGCAAACCCAGAAGAAATCTTTTCCTGGGAAACCCTTTGTTCCTTCCATACTTCCACAAGACCTTCTTCCTTCCTGCTGCCCAGCCAAATTTTAAATCTCTGCTTTTGTGTTCTGCCTGGGCAGACCACTTCCAGCCTTCATCTTGCTATCCACACAGCTTCAATCCATCTCATTTACTTCTACCTAGGGAATTTTGACAATTCTCTTATAAGTCTTATCAACTAAAGGGATCCCCACAGATCCCAAATGGATTATTTGGACACGCCATTTTTCCCTCCAAGACAAGCCAAATATTTATTTTTTATTATTTTATCAGTTTAATTTTTTCCCAGGGCACAGTCTCTAGTTTCCTACCAGGGCTTTCCCACCATGCACTTTTCCATATTCTAGCAAATTATCTCCATCCCATCCCTGGGCTGCACAACTTACTTTTAACTGTCACTGCAAGGAATTTTACCAGAACAGAAACAACTGAAAAAAAATTCCTCTCAAGGAAGCAAATACCCTGATTGTTTTCCAGAAGGGTTAAAAGAATTGTTCTCACACCTTTATGAAAAAGAGTAGTAGGCCTCATTTCCAGTCAGATATCTGTGTCTCTGACTGGTCCTATTCCTTGAGCCAAACTCAGAAGATGAAAAACTAATGCCTGTTTCTGGAAGAGCCATGTTCAGGGGTGTAAAACCCAAACTACTCATTAGGGGAAAGGCAGTGGAGAACAAATGTCCTCTACTGCAGTACATTCCCTTTGTTCCTTCATGAATACCTTAAGGTAAACAGAGACCAGAGCCAGTTTGGGGGTTTGTGCTTGTAGTAGAAAACAAACCCAGCAGAACTGCTCTTGCTTTTTTAGGGGAAAGATCAACCACGTGTACAAAGTTTCTGAAACTGCTGAAGCTGTAAGACTGTGGGTGATGGCCAGTTCATAAAGTTCACAGATGGACTGGACCATGAAGAGGAATTTCCTCATTAATGACTGAAAGATCGCCTTATGTCCAAAACAACAGAGTAGTTTTCTCTTAGTGTGCATAAGGACATAATGGTATCAATTTCCTACACACAGAGAGAGATGTAATTCACACTGCCATTTCATAACCATATCAAAGCCCACTAGAGCCAGCCACATGCATAGCCATGAAGAAAACAGCCCCGTAAAGATGGTGAGCTGAATTACAAAGCACTGTATTCCAGCACTGAATGGAAGGTGACATGCTAAAAATTAAAAAGGAATTCAGCTGCTATGGTCCATTTATTCCTCCATGCTTCTGAGACTGCAAACTAGCTGGCTGTGTGCAGCATCCACCCACTTAGTCATAGACCACAAACAAATAAGAGCCAGCACAGCCCTAACTGAGGAGCAGACCAGCAACTGGAAGATTAAATGCTCCACAGTTTGTTACTGGCTTTGTAAATAACCCAGTCCTTCAAATCACTATTTAAGAGGCATTTTAAAGACCTTTAGGATAATTACTATATTTGGTTCCAGAATTAACACCACCTGTTGCTAAGGAATTACTTGTATTAGGAGTTAGATCCTGTATACTTCAGACTGCTGCAAAAGAAAATAAATTATAATGCATCTAAAGATTATGAGGAAAAACAGTTTGCTGGCCATATGTTGAGCTTCAGACTATGAAAACCCCAGCAATGATGCTAAAAATTTTATGTTGGTTAAATTACCCAAAGAGAGGAGCATTCTGAAGTTGTGTTTTCTCTTTCTTCTCCCTAAATCTGAATGGAATCCTAAAAACAGAAAAAGATATTTCAGGAAATTTTTTAAAGATGACAATTGCAGCCCTGCTAAAGGGAACATCTTGCTCTGGCCAAGGACAATTAATTCTAAGGCCACATCAGAAAATCAGGAAGAGCTGGAATAAAAGCAATCATAATTATATTAAAAGTGTCTCATTAATGTATTGTTAAGCATCAGAATATTCTAAGGAGGGGCGGGTGCAAGAATTAATAGTTTTATTGTAAAAAAATTGCTCTGTCGTGCTTTTTCTATTTTTAGATAAAGCTTCCACTTGTAACTGAGTCCTCTAAATGTAGCCTTTGTTAGACAAAAATGTGGCCAGGCTGTTAGCACTCTTTTATCTGATGGCTTAATGCAGTAAAGCTTGCATTATAAAAATGAACACTGCAGAGGAAGATTAAGTTGAAAGAATTTACTAAGGATCATGTTACTTTTTTAAGTAAGTACTTTTTAAAGGAGTACAATCACTGCTACTGCTTCTTCTGGTTTTACTAGAATCCATATATTTATATATTACATATAAAATCACAATAATGGGATTTTGATGTACAGATATTAAATTTATCACTGGTACACAATGAAATTGATCCATTGTGCTGCAACATGTGACTGATTTTCTAATGACTGGCAGAAGAAAAAGGGAAAAGGATCACATATTCTTCCTCAGCAATCCTTTTTATGTGTTATGGACACATTTATGGTAAGTTACTGTAAAGGTGTTTATATCTTTCTAAAGGTGAAAAATGTACGTGTTGTACAGGAAAAGGGTTAGCTATTTTTCTACACTGATATACACACGAGAGGGAAATATTTGCAGAACAGTTTGGAGGACAGGAGAAGGTATTGGTCCTGACACACAAGATCTGTTTCTTCTCCCAAATGGGGTCCAAGAAACATTTTTGGGTAAGCCTCCATTTTTTCCTTCCTATGCCACAAGTGTTCTGAGCAGAGAAAGTGTTACAAGGCTCCCCTTTAAGACAAACCACTTTACAACTGGTGTGAGCTGTATCCTCCCATTCAGTGCCCTGCTACTTGTAAATTCTAAGTCAAAAAATTATCCTGCACAGTCACCCACTACAGAATCTGAAATACAAAGCTGTGATTTAGACACCAAACCTGACAAATTTCCAAAATGGTTAGAAAGAACTACACCACGCAGCAGGGGACAGCATAGTCTCTGCACATCTCAGGATTGAAAGTGTTTATTCTTCCAGAGAAGAATGTCAAATAAGGGGTTTCCTATATCAGTGTTAGAAATATGGGACTGATCCTCATGGAACCCAGTTGCTATTCCAAAGTTATAAGAAACCTGTTAGTCACTTGAGACTGTTTCTCCTGAACTGTGTTCTTGTGCTCTAAGTTTTGAGCCATTTTCTCTCTGCCCGATGTTTGCAGGTAAATCCTTTCATCAATGCAAGGTCACAACGACCCCCTCAGTTTCAATTTCCTACACATTCAATTTCATTTCACATTCCTAACTTTCTTGTTCAGCTCAGCTTGTTTCTGTTTCATCTTCACCACCAGAGAAAGATGAAGATAGAAAGCACCGTGAGGTGGAGGACCAGAGCCTTGGTGTCAGTTTTCAGGAGTTGAGCCCTGCCAGGTACCAAAGACTCAGGAGTTGCTCCATGTCTTACAGAGACACAGCTTTGAGTCCTTTGACTCTACCCATACATTGTTATTTTTGGACTTGTTCCTGCCTGGCCGCTGCAGTGTCATGACAATGCAGTCTCTAAAGGCTCTCTCTCTCTTCAATCACTACCCTGACACAATGGCACTCACAAGAAGAGAAACGTTTTTTAATCATCTTTTGATTCTGAGCTGTCCTTTTCATCACTAATAATGTTGCCTATTTCTGTGTGACTAGGGGAAAAGAAAATGATATATATGCATATAGGTTTGTATGGGATCTACCCAAATAGCTAACAGAGCTCTGCAGAGAGACGCATGATCCTTTAAATAAACAGCAAAATTATGTAAATTGAGTTAATTTCTCAGTCTTTTCTGTGCATTTCTTGGGTGTTTGTTTGTTTGTTTGTTTGGGGGAGGAGGTGTCTGTTCCAGGAGGGTTTTGCTTGGTTGGTTGTTTTATCTAACTGTTGATACAATCCCAACAGCTGCATGCTCCAGGCATGCAGATATTGAATCAAAACAGTGCTTTTTTTGACCCCTTAAGCATCAGTGATCAGCCAACAGTCAAGGCAAGCTAAATTAACCCTCTAAGTCAGCAGCTTTCTGCACCTCTGGAAAAGGTTTTGGACATTTCTAGGTGGCTAAGGTGAAGAGGGCCTAAAAAGCCTACCCAGCCCAGAAATCAAGCAGGCTGCTCAAAACTCCACCACAGCAGAAAAACAATGGCAAGCTCTTAAGTATTAACCTTGAAAGAATACTTAACTGTGACACAGAAAAAGTGCTTCTTTAATGGCTTTCCTCCTCCTGGTGCAAGTTACCAACAAATTTTAGAAAGGTGAATGGATTCTGCTTAAAGGCTTTAATTTTTTAACAGCTAAAAAGAAATCTAAGCAGTAACCGATTGCTTGGTGCAGGCAAAAACCGCAGCTAGCAGTAATTTCTTGGTACTCAAGACTACAATGTTACCCTTCATTGCACAGAAACTGTGGCTGTTATAATGTGGCTGAGTAACATTTCACGTAGGAAACAAAGAAAGGCTGGGGGAGGAACACTAATGTTTAATTTTGGCTATTGCTTTCCGCCTTTCTTCTGAGATGGAAAAACAAGATGTATCTGGAGCCTTCTATTGAAGCTGACAAAACACTTTTCAGACCTTGCCTTTGGGCAAAGGCAAAATTGAGGGGAACAATTTAGATGTAGCATGGAACGTTATCAAAAAATGACAATAGGTTAAATATTCTTCTTAAATGGTGTTTAGTAAACAATTTTAGCCTCTTTGACCAGGGCCAAAATGAAGAAATACTTCTTCTGTAAACAGTCCCACATAAAGTAGTACTAGATTACAGCAGTTTCCATAACATAATGGTTTAAGGGGGTAAAAAAATCTGTAACAGTTGGCAGCTACTGTTTACAGTTTCCCATTTTTCAGGAAAAACAGCCAAATTTTCCTCCCCCCAATGCAGGGGATTAAAGCCATCGTGCTAGAATACAAATAGAAATAACCTTAGGACTTCTATGTTAAGCAGAAGCAAAACTAAATATTTGTTTCTGATGGGAAATGTGAAATATGGAAGTTAAAACTTTTTTTTTTTCCTCTGATTACTGAGAAGATCCACAGTGAATTTTAAAAAGGACAAGGTATTGTCTGGTGCTAAATACAGGGAAATTTTGGGAGGCACCTTTGAGATTCAAGCTTAAAGTTTAGTTTTCAATTCCATATGCTATTTCCTTTTCCCAAATACCTGATTTCTGCCCTTCCTTACTCTGAAAAGAGGAGTGAAAAGGATATATTAGTTCAGCTTGAGTGCTGACAAGCCATTTGCCAAAATGATATAAATAAAATCTCAGCTTGTTGCCCAGATCAGCAGAACGTATCTCCCCTGTGCTTGGCATAACATTTGATACACTCTTTTGGTGGGCTGAAAATTCCTTTCTATTGATTAAACATGATCAAAATGGGACTTTTATTCAGAATCAGCACAACACACTTTTCTTTCAAACTTCAAAACTAGAGAATAAATGTTATTATCCACTTTTATCTAAACTGCAAAATGATACTAAATGACTTCTTCCATTAAGATAGAGGAAAATGGACTGTTACCAGCCTAGGAAAGAACAGCTTCTTTTTACTTGCATTGTCCATGTTTTCCTACCAATAGCAAAATGAAAAGAGATACAGTGAGTGGGATAGAGATTAATTTTGTAAATTTTCCTCATTACACCTTCCCTCTATTCAACACAGAACAGCTGGGACTAATCAATGGTCTGAATGAAATAATGAAGTCATCCTATCATGTAAAGGCTTTAAGAGTCTATAGTAAGCACAGTGTATTTTTTCTTACTCATAGATATTAAAACTGGATGTATTATTAAATGTGGTAAAAAAGCATACCATATGCTATGATCAGCGCTGCGTTTCTTTCCCAGTGTTGGTGTAGAGTAAAAAGAAAGGAAAGAAGTTTCATTTTTTACTCATGCTGGGGAAAAAAGGAAGGTATGGGTGTTTTCTTAATCCAGTGCAAATTCAAAATGCACTACAATGAAATTTCTTAAATATATTGAAGATCTGTATGCAGTCTGGTTACGTTTCTCTTCTTTCCCGCAGGTACACAATAATCTGAAAAGAACTGTAGTGCAGTTGTCCTGTTATTTCAGAAACCTCTCTGAATCCCTCTTTTGATGACAGGCTAATGACATGTGAACAAACAGCCCAGAACATCATGTGCTGCAATAAGCAGAAAGATACTGCCCCAGCCCTCGTTTCATTTTGCCCCATTTCTCAAAAACAGACAGATGATTCCCATTTTCCATTTCTTTATGTTGTTTTCAAGCTACCAAATTAACACAGATTAATTTTAAAGGCATTATCCCCTCTGTTCTTAATAATTCCATGAGACACCTGGTGCTTTATTGCTCCTGGGTGTTTTGGTCACCTCTTAGTTCTTCTAGAAATGGCTCAGCTGTCTGGAAAATGCCTTACCGGATAAAATACTCCCTCATCTTTTTGTAATTATATTATTTTAACTAAGTGTTCTACTTTTGTTCTTTATCTGACTTATGCACTGTTCATGTCCTTGTCTCTAATGCTGATATACCAGGAAAATGGTCTGAAGTTACCTTATAATGCTGTCACTTCTGCTGCACAGAGCCCTTTTTTGTGCTGTACTACCTTCCTGTTGAATCATTTGCATTACCAGAGGGCTTAGAGAAATCATGAAATCATCATCACATGTTGCTTTCTTATACTCCCCATCTAAATTTTTTTGTTTTGCTCATCTTCTGCTTTTCTCTTACTTTTTTTTTTTTTTTTTTTACTCCATGTGTTTTCCAACTGGTATTAAATTGTTCCACAGTGATTATGTTCCCACCTGTACACTTGGTGTCCTCCAATAAGTTCACGTGGTAGAATGTATTTACAAATGCTGGTACAAACTATCTACCTCTCTTCCAGCACCCCTCCATTTCTTCCCTCACTATTTTACATATTCTAGCTCTTTCTGTATAATGATGCCGAGAGTTTTTCACACATTCCAGCAGCTCTGCCAGCATTTATGGGCACTCAGAATCTAAGGATATGGAATAATTCCACAATATCACAAAATATCATGTGCTTCCTTACAGAATTTTATTATAAAATATGCAAAACAACACGTTTCTTCATACTTCTTGAAGAGTGATTAAAGTAATAACCCTGAAGTACACAACATTGAAAATGTCAGCCCAGATCACACAATTTTAGAAAAAATTTCTCTGGTTTTCAAACCTCCTTCAAAAATTTTTATTCAGTGCCCCAGGTTCTGCCTTCCCCCTTTCAAGGAAATACTGGACGTGGCACTCGCTGCCCTGGTCTGGATGACAAGGTGGTGTTCGGTCATAGATTGGACTCGATGGCCTCAGAGGTCTTTTCCCAACCGAACTGATTCTGTGATTCCCACCCTGGCTCCCGGGCTTTCCCCTCGAACTTCACGGGTACAGCCTGAGGTTGATCCCCGCTTTGTGCCGCGCCTCCCTGCACCGCCTCAGCCTCCCCTGGGGGCTCCAAGGCAGCGTGGAGGGCACCGGCACACGCGGCTCCACGTTTCGGTTCTGTTTTGAAGCCCCTGGCGCCGCTTTCGGCCGAGATGGACGCTCGCCACCTCGGGAGGCCTCACACAGCGCCCTGAGACACCGCCCCACCCTCCGCCATGCCGCACTTTCGTCACGGCCGCGCCCGTGGTTCCACCGCCTCGCCAGTACTCCTGTGTTGTCATCAAACGCGTAGTGTCCTCGTCGGTACCGCGGAATCACGTTATCCTTGGACTGAACGCTTGGGCTGCTGGAACTTGACTCGAATCTGCTGTCGCTAAAAGCCAGCCCGCCCCTGCCCCTATGCCGCCGGCGGAAGCGGAAGTGTCGCCATTTTGTTTCGGGTGATGGCGGCTGTGGTGCTCTGGGATCGGGGGCTTTAGCGCGGGCCTGGCCCTGCGGGGACTCGCTGGTCGGACAGTCGGTGCTCCTGCGAGCTGCCTCCGCCTCGCTGCGCCCCCCGGTGATGTACGGAGGGCTCGGAGGGTCTCGACGGACTGCAGAAGAAGCAGGCCCGCCGCCCCTAATGTTGTTGTCAGGCGGGGGAACGGTGCCCGGGCCCCCCGGAGGAGGTGGAGGTGGAGGCGGGAGTAGCCGTGTGGAGCTGCTGGTGTTCGGCTATGCCTGCAAGCTGTTTCGGGATGATGAGAAGGCTCAGTACCAGGAGCAGGGGCGACACCTTATTCCTTGGATGGGAGACCCCAAGATCATGATCGATAGGTCGGTGTAACACAACCCCCAGACTGTGCTGCGAGATCTCCTGTGATAGCCTCTTTCTGTTTCCCCCCTTGTGCTGTGGGCAGTGAGGGCGGGGGTTGAGCAGAGGGCTCGCTCTGGCAGGCGCGTCGGGACCCTCTGTGCTGGGGCTGGAGGCAGCTCGTCCCGGCACAGCTCCGAGGGCGCTCTGCAGCGCTTCATTCTGCGGAACTTGGGGTTTCCCGCTCTGGCAGCGCTGGGAGGTTCCTCTCCTCCTGGCAGGCAGCGTGTGATGGGTCTTTCTGCTCCACTTGTGAAGGCAGGGTGGAGAGTGGGAATGATCTGTTCCTTTTCAGTGCAAACCACAAACGTCCTCCTGTTTTTTTCACTTGGAATCGAAGGGAGCCTGATTTCGTGGGAATACTTATTAGGCACATTGTGTGTTCTGTAGGTGAGAACGTGGCAGTGTGGGGAGTGCAAAGGCGTTTATCCACCATAAAGAAAATGGGGATTTCCTATTTCTCCTACATAATCTGGCTGCAGGCTGC